TTGTATACTTCAAGTGTGTTCTTCTTTTTCTTTTCCTTCTTTTTTTTTTTTTAAGTGCAAATCTAAGGTTAATTACCATGCTTGTGCTGGAAACCCAAACCAAATCCCCACTAAAAAGTCAGATTTCTTCATCTAAGCATGGAAAAACTTAACACTTGCCTTTTTTGTCTTCTTGGGGAACATGTTTCTCTGGCTCTGCAAAGTGCTAAGTATCATCAGCTCACAGGGAGTCCACTTGGCCTCTAAGAGTCAATACAGTTATTTGGGGAGCTTTGTGTATGAGTTGCATGAAAACAAGAAGACTAGGGTTCATGGCAACAACAGTCTCTTCTTGATTCCACTGCCAAGTTGTTCTGCAATGTACAGCAAATAACCCCCGGTAAAAGTGACCCCCGGTATCAATACAGGCTGGGGGAAGAAAGGATTGAGAGCAGCCCTGCCTAGAGGGACTTGGGGGTGCTGGTGAATGAAAAGCTGGACATGAGCCGGCAATGTGCGCTGGCAGCCCAGAAGGCCAAGCGTACTCTGGGCTGCATCGGGAGAAGCGTGGCCAGCAGGTCGAGGGAGATGATTCTGCCCCTCTACTCTGCTCTGGTGAGACCTCACCTGGAGTACTGCATCCAGCTCTGGAGCCCTCAGCACAAGAAGGACATGAAGCTGTTGGAGCGGGTCCAGAGGAGGGGTACAAAAATGATCCAAGGGCTGGAGCCCTTCTCCTATGAGGACAGACTGAGAGAGCTGGGTTTGTTCAGCCTGGAGAAGAGAAGGCTGCGGGGAGACCTGATTGTGGCCTTTCAGTACCTAAAGGGGGCCTATAGGAAAGATGGGGAAAATCTTTTTAGTAGGGCCAGCTGTGTCAGGACAAGGGGTAATGGTTTTAAACTCATTATGTTCGTAGTGGAAATTTTTTGATAAAATACGTTACGAAGAGCTTTTGCCACTTCATGTTTACAGTTTTGTCATCCTAATACCTCAATGTTGATATTCTTTACTTCTGAACATAACGTTGCCGTATACTTAAATATTCAAGACCAGGTTGAACATGGCTCTGAGCAACCTGATCTAGTTAGCAGTGTCCCTGCTCACTGCAGGGGGGTTGGACTAGACGACCTCTAGGGGTCCCTTCCAACCCAAAACATTCTATGATTCTATGATATTCAACTCATTTGCTCTTCTGTAAAAAGCAAATTAGAACATGGAATGCAAGATAACCAAAATAACACAAGTATTAGTCTTTACAAGTGTATATGGCACCCTGAAATGCAAGCACTCAGACAAGCTTTATGGAATTTATTTTTATTACTGTCTGATAAACCTTCTGAATCATCAACATGAATAAAGGCAGAAATAGCTTCAAGAACTTGTAGAGCACAAGTAGAGGAACATGTCCAGTGCCACAGAAGGTGCCTCTGTAGCCACCCAGCTGCAAAGGTAGGGTTGCACTTTTGCTTGCAGGTTCTTGCTGGCAAATTTTGCCATGAGGGGAATGATACTACTGGCAGAGCTGTCTGCTCTTGATGATGCACACAGCAAACATAGACAGCAGCACTGTGGCTTTTGAGATTGAAGCCCCTGCCTCACAGGGCATCTGTTCCAGCTGCCATAGGAAAGCTTGGAGGTAGGAGGCAGTGGGACGCTAGGCAGAGTGCTAATGTTTCCAGGCATGGCTTCACATTCTTCAAGGGATCTTGTGTGTGGCCAAGCACAACAGAAAGGGCAATTTCCCTGCAGGTTTTTCCTCATTTCTTTTAAAAGGTGCAAGAGGAGAAAATGAAGACATTGAAACCTTACCATTTGACATTACTCAATAGCTAAGAGCAAAAAGAGATCCCAGGTGTTTTTTTAGCATATTTTTTTTTCTCAATTACATGCTTGTAGTAAACTTTCATTTGCAAGCGAAGAGAGAAGAAATCAGAGCATGGTGTCAGAAACAACATGTCCACCCATTGCAACATCTACGCTTTTTTCCTACTCTGTTCAGGCACTCCAGCAATTCCCTACAGTGTATAGCCATGCTGCTTTCAAATCTGTAGGGCTCTTGGGAGATAAAGTACCTCATTAATTAATCATGCAGCTTAAATAGTAATTTCATTTTGGAGTGGCATGTGATCATTAAAAGAGACTGAAGGCTGAATTCTGGGCTGTGACATAGAAGTTGTGTTTGTGGTCAGGATAAAGACTGTTCATTTAAGTCTTGTGAGCAGTAGGGCCTGATTTATACTCCTCCTAGGGCAGAGTTTGCCTAATGAAGGTGCAGGGTGCTGGGTCATGTCAGGAAGTAGAAGATATTATCATGCCTGTTTTAGTCTGGGTGCTGCCTGGTAAGTAGCAGGATTTCTTCCATCTGTCTTGAGGCAGAAATCATAATCCCTCGCCCAGGCATGTCCATGCAGAGTGCAGTAATATCAGTATCACTCTGCCTAGGCAGGCTCATTTAGCCTGAGTGTTGCATCCTGCTTTACGTTCCTCTGTGCCTCAAAACAAATTATGACCATGCCACTTGCGCCCAGCAGTATAGGAAGACATGGCTGCAGCTTGATCTAGTTTCTGTATTTTCTTACAGTGTCTGAGTACCAATGTGCTCATGTATTAACATTTTCAGCCTCATAAAATTCATGACCTTTGAAAGTATTAGCTGCATTTGACAACTAAGAAAACAGAGGCACAGCAAGATCAAAAAACTTGCTCAAGGTCACCCAGAAACTGGGAATGAAAACCAGATTCCTTCATATAGACCTCAGCCACAAGGCATTCTTCCCTCTCTTGTGGCTTAGTTTTAAGATTTTCAGGATGTTGTCTGAGACCTTGTGCAACTGATTAATCTGTCTGGCTATGCCTGTCATGCAAAAGTACCGAGTACCACATGTTAGTCCGAAGTTTGAGCCAGACACACAGCAGTAGAATGATTTTCCTTCTGATCCCTAGAAGGCTCTGACGGATTCTTTCCCCCACCCTGCTGCTGTGTTTTAGGTCCTCCTGAGATCATGTACCTCAGTAGGGTGAATCACGGGACTAGCGACTGCTGCTTTGAACTGGATGGCTTCTAGTGGTACGGATTCCCTTAAGCCTCATCTTTCCCAGCTGCACACAGGGAAGATAAATGTAAGTATAGTATATCTTAAGCTATCTTCAGCTCACACTCTCCCTCTTAGAACAAAACTGCTTCCTGTACAATATCTTATCTGGTCTCCTGCATTTTGTGCAACATGCCCACCCAGAATTTAGTGTCCATGAAGAAACAAGAAAACAGTGGGAATGTTTCCCTCCCTCAGCCAGATCCTGTGTCTTCTGTGTGCTGTGTGATTACACCAAGTTTGTCACAAAACTTCTAAGGGGAAATGCACTTTTTCAGTTATGTGTTTAATAAGATGTGCTTGCCTGTTATGATGCCTTCACAAGGAAGCATGTGCCCCATTTTGGCAAAAATGCTTTGCAGTGCTGGAGCCATGAATGTTTACAAATGCTCAAATGTTGAGGACCCTAAAATTCTTACACAGAGTTTCTTGCAAGTTATTCACACTATAAAAATGGATGTAGTGGTTCAGGCCAAAAGGGGATGTTTAAGATTAAGAATAAGCATAAAGCGATACTTCCCAGTTTCTGACTACTTGTAGCTTGGAGACTTCCTGAGCCAGGGACTGTTTTGAGGCATTTGGTAATCCTCAATAGTTTTGTACAGCACAGATTTATCTAATATTTCCATGTAAAGCTCTAGTATCCATAGTATTATGTGGCACGGAGCTCCAAACTTTCACGGTGTACAGATAGTGTTCAGACGTCCAATACCATACTGGTTCCCTGATACACTCCTCAGAGACCAGAGTAACACCCAGTTTTGTGCTGAATACCATTTTAGAGATTGCACACATCCTGTTTATGTGGGGAGATGGTCTATTGGCACTGGAACTACTAAGAAATTGATGTCATGGTTCTGAATTAGAGTATTGCTTATAACAATAGCAAGAGTTAGTATTAAGTTTATATATTACCACTAGTGAAAGTTGCCACTTCACATAAGATTTTAGAGAGAAAGCTCAAAAAGATAAAAAAAAGTTTGGAACTTAGGCAATGATTAAATAAACAGTGTCAAGGTTGAGAGGATTGTGTAGTTGATACCTTCAACTTGAATTCTTTTGGTTTTAAATGTCATTTTGGTATTTGCCAAACAGAAGATTAAATCTTTCTTTGAGAGGCTGCCATTTCAAGAATGGCAAGCCCACTATTCAGACTTCCAGGTAAGTGAATTAGCTTCCATTTATTTCCATTTATGTGGCTACCCAGAAGATTGAAACCGACACATTTCCTGCTCTTTTAAGGGTAGGATTCTTTTCTTTTTTTGTGCCTCTTATTCTGTCACACTAGTGATACCAGTCACAGGAGCAACTTAGCAAATATAATTATGCTTTTTCCATATACACAATTATGACAAGAGGCTGATGGGTACAAACAACTGCCTTGATGGCTTTAAAGTTCATGAAGTTTATTGCAATGCCCCACGAATGTTAGAAAGTATGGTATCCTGCCAGGCATTTAGTTTTCTAATTGTTTAGTGTAAGGTATTTGTTTGAAAAGTGGGTGGGATAAGGTTCTTGAAGTTGCTAGAATGGGTAGGATCCTGGGCCTATCTTTGAAAAACTTAGTGTCTGCATCAACTCTTTTCCCATTATCTTCTCTCCTATTTTCACATCTGCATGCTTTTTTCTATCCTCCTTACCTAAATATTTTTCTTTTGTTCATTTTTTTGCTTGCTTTGTTTTATTTTCTACTCTGCCTTCTGTCTCCTGAGACATCTGTTCCCAAGGTGATATTTTCAATCAAACCACTGAAATGCATGTTGTATTTTCACTTGGTAACTACTTGTGTAAGCCATTCCTAGAATCTTTTAATTAATTTCTTTAACATTGGGCCTTCTACTAATTTGCAGATCTATTAAAAATCCTCTCCACCGTCGCTAGCATCCCAGCAAAAAAACCTGAGAGAAGATCTGAGAATTAGAAAAGATGCGGGCCAAAGACAGCAATCCACCAGATGGTGGCTATGGATGGGTTGTGGTAGTGTCAGCCTTCATGGTGATGGGCCTCACTGCTGCTGTCCTCAAGAGTTTTGGTTTGTTCTTTGTTGAAATCCAGCAGCACTTTGATGAACTTGCAAGCACTACTTCCTGGATCACATCAGTAACTATTGCCATCTTTCATTTAGGAGGTAGGTAGAAGTGCTCCTGTAGCACTTTAATGTCTTAACTACTCCAGAAATTTTGAAGAGCTTCCTTAAAAACGCCCATAAACCGAAAACATGTAAGGACAATACTTCCTTCTTCTGTCTCTACAGAAAACTGTCATTTTGCTTCCTCTCATAAAAATGTATCTATGCCTCAGACATGGAATGGGTTAATAAGGAATCTGTATTTACACAGGAATCTGACTGCCTTAAAGAACTTCACTTACCTGGACTCATGATTCAGTTTTCCTACAGGCTTTGAATCAAACTCATTGGAGATAATCATAAGAACAGCAGAGCTTGTTGGATCAAGCTCTTAAACCAGTTTGTGGGAATTCACTGATACCATAGTGACTGTCAATTTTTCAAAGTACTTTAAGACATAAGGACTGTGACCCTGCCTAGCAGATAAGCCATCTGCTACCAAAATGGTGACTCAGTCCTGCTTTCCCCCAACTTCTCCTTTTTGTCTTCACCAGGATCCCCTTTCCTGCCATGTATTGCCAGTTCTGGCTCTCCTTTTTCCCCCCTTAGAATGATTTGAAATCATTGATCTAACAGAAAGCACACCATGTTAAAAAGAAAAAAAAATCAGTTCACTCATAGAGAGCATAAGGAAGACAAGACCACTCAAGCAGAGAGTAAAGGAAGAGAGAGTGAACTATCCCAAAGGCAATGAGCCATGGGATCAGGTCAAACACCACATCTCACCAGACAAAGGAGGAAAAAATATCAAACATACCGCATTTGACTCTTAATTTAGTTGTTTACAGAGTCCTTTGTGCCCTTGTAGAACTGGATTATCCTTCGCCATTACGGTGAGGATTCCAAATGTGCAGGCACAAACTGTACAGAATTTGTGAAGGCCACTCTACATATTATCTTATAGATACATAGGTGCAATAGGTAAGTATCCTTATGTCATAAACGCTAGCATAATTTTGTTTGTGAAGACGCTTCATTGCGTAGACGCAACATAATTATATGCATCCTACTCAGTCCACACCTATCAGTGTTATTGCTTGTAATTGCAGTACTTCCAAAGATCATGAGCAACTGATCTTTCTTCGAAAAATCTATTCAGAAGAACAAAACAGTAATTCAAAGTCAAAGTAAAAAGAAAAGCAAGTCATTGATTGAAAAGATTTTACTAGTTCCATAAACTGCTATCTTTGATTTGCAGTATTACAGCTTGTTTCATTCTGACAGAAATAATTAAGTGAAAAATCAATGAAAAACCTGCTTTTTCACTACTTCTCAGACTACAGAAATGAATAAATGAGAATCTATCAAATTGGTTTACAAATTAGACTTATGACTGGCCTATTGTGATACTACTTTGTCATTCAGGCACATGAACTTAATGAGTAAAAAAAGCCAGCATAGGAGGATAAAAGAACTCGAAGTCCTGTGTTAAGGTGTTGGGCTTTTATATATATATATATATACACATTATATAGGAATGTATCAAGGATAGAGCATATTAATATAAACCAGCAAAACTGTATTTGCCTAGCCAGGTGTGAGGTTGGCCTGCTTCAAAGAAGGCAGCTATAATTTTCAGCAGAAATTATTTTTCATCCTTTGCAATCCTGCGAAAATAATCCTCTTTCAGTGAATACAGCTTGATGGCCAAACATTCCAAAACACTTCTGTATAGCATTCATAATGTCTTGGCTCACTAGGTAATTTTCCTTATCTTCTCCTGCCTTTGCTTCATTTATAGGGACCAGAAGACTTTCTGCTGAAGATCATCTGAGCCTCCAGTTCTTTGAGCATCTTTCCTGGCCTGGCCTAATCTTTCTTAATATGTTCCTCTGGGAAACCTTCAGTGTCATTTGGCTCAGTATGAAGGATGATCAGTGAATTATTAATTTTTCCCATTTGGATATTTTCAACAGCAGCTCTGTGCCCTGTGTCGAAGGAGTGCACACGCTTCTACTTTTTGGGTTTGCAACAGGCTGTTCAATTTACCTCATCAAGGATTCTCCCCATGACACAGATGGGCCTTCTCTTGGTAGTGATGTACATCTTCCACCACTTTTCTCTTTGCACTGTGATTATCATCCCCTTCCATTGCTTGTAAGTTTTCTGTGTATTGCCCTTTACCCTTTCAGACCCTGGACCCTAGCTATCTTCTCCATTTCCAGTTCTGTGGCTAGCTTCTTTCTTCCTCCTGCTACCCCATGTTCAATTTCCACCTATTTCTTCTTCTTATTCTCTATTAAAAAAAAATTCTTTTTGGTAGTATTTCTGCTCCAACTGCAGATCTTTCTCTTGTCTTTAAACACTTCAGTGGAACTCTCTTGTTACCCTGAGTCTACTTTTCTCTTGTTCACCATATATGTATGATTCTCCAACTGTATATGCTTTATCTTGTCTCATCCCTTCCACTACATCTTACAGACCATGACTGACTTCCGGTATAATTTTTACATGCTTATCAAATCATTATATTTTTTGCTGTAAATGCTGATGAGACCTTTGGGGTTTGTATAACTTCTGCCAGCTACTTGCTGTCAGACAAGATACATCCTGCAGATTTTGCAGCCATTAAAATTTCTCTGCCAGGTTTACTTTGCTTGTTCTAGCTACCAAATTATCTTCATTCTTACCTTTAATTAACACGGGTGAACATACAACAACTTGCCCCCACAAACTACTATAAAACCTCCCTTGCTGACTGCCCTCTCCTCATTGTCTCCCCACTTATTTCAGGTTTTAAGCATGGTCCTCGTTAACCGCATTTCATTTTACCCCTAAACTCCAGTTTCCAGAATACCAATCAATTGTGGGAAGCTGACTCCCTGTTTGCACTACGAAACCCCAGCGAGGACCAGTGGTGTCAGGTGTTACTTGGGTTCCCTCTAGTGGCCATGGCTATTTAAAAAAAATTTCTGTGCTTCGGGTTTGAAACTATCTCCACAGAACAGAGTGCCTTTCCATGATGATATGGCCTTGATCTTTACTCGGTGATGCTGATAGAAAAAACAGCCAGGCAGTACAACTGATCCTTAATTGAATTAACATTCCAGGTGCTTTGAAGCACCTAGAGACCACTGCTTGGGTTTTTGGAATCGCTGCACCAAGTCAGATCTGTACCTGGTGCAACTTTGCCGTCATGTGTTGCAGAGTTCCTGCAGTCTGCTAAGAAAAACTGTACTACCAAAAGAAAAATGGAAGAAATTAACTGAAAATTTTGTGGAAAAATATTACCTCGAAATAAACCTTGATTTTTGGTCCTTTATAAAACATTTGCAATTCCATAAACAGATGATCTTGCAAAGCTCTAGAAGATAAAGATTAGTTTTCTCCAGAAAGTTTTCATGCCAACTGTATCAATAATACACTCTCAATAATACAATTTTTATAGATTAACCTAGAGATTCTATGGCTGGGCTTTCCCTTTCTGCTAAAAGGGTACATGAATTTCTGTCATGTCACTAGTTGTATCCTTAATGAAATTCAGTAGAACTCTTCCACAAGGACGGGAACAGTCATTCCCTTATCAGCAAGGATCCAATTTTAAAAATCTCAATTGAAGCCCCCTGGCCAGCAGGATTCAGGCTGTTTGAGACAAACATTATAAAGGTATTTCTCCTCCAAATGCTTTATTTGATTGTTTGGTCCTGTCAATCAAGTTAATGTTCCTAATATGTTTATCTTTCTCCTATTTTGATGCTGATCCAGCCCCTGTTGCCAGCTCACTGTGTGTGCGGTACACCCATCGGGCGGTTGTGATCACTGGAGGACTCCTGGCTTTTTCAGGAATGGCACTGGGATTTCTTGGACTCAACATGGTCTGGATGTATGCAACAACTGGCTTCCTACAGGGTATGATTTTATGGCTTTATGGATTTCTTGCAGCAGCGACTTGGAGCCCATACTTGAGGGTGCTAATGGTAGGAGTTTAAAAATCTGATTTCTATTTTGATTTTATGAGCAACTAAAACCAGCAACCCTCTTTAAAGGTCATTTCTCTCATGTCCCACTCCAGAAGTAAGAATTTGTGCTAGAAACCTGCAATGACAAAGAAGATGAATAATCAGATGCTAGTAATTTTCACCTGCAGATTATATGCAAACAGAAAATGAGAAGTGTTTTATTTTTTACTTGGAGTCAGGAGCTCTGTAAAGGTTTAAAGAACCTAAAGGGTGATGAAGTACAAGGACGTAGAAATCCCAAATTTTGTACTTCCTATCAAATAATCTTATGTGTTGAACACAGGCCCAGGCTTTCAGTTGGTTCCAACCCTTAGCTTTACTTCAGGTGAAAACAGGCCAAAACGTTGTCTCCAACAGCTAGCAGATTTTCCTGGAACAGGAAGCGAAGCTGGCAGGGAATAAAATAAACCATTCCCAGTTCCATGCTGGATGCCTGAGAAAATGTCTGGAATTTGAGCCCTTTGGCAGTCCTGCACTGCCAAATAGTTCTTAGGGAGCCATTAAGATCACTGTAAGTTAGAGCAGGTTTGAAGCCTGCTCAAAGCAGTTGGGCAAGAAAAATGAAGAGCAAATAGAGGTAATACACCAGCTTTCTTCACATCCTCCCTCACTTTCTACCCTGAACACTGCTTAGCTTAACCCAGCGATCTGATCTAGTACCAGCCTTAATTAGGACAGCACGGACACTCTGAGATCTGCCTAGTTTCAACCACACGGCCGTGCAATTTCTCACCCAGTGGCAAACTTGTCAAACCAACTTTTTTTTTTTTTTTTTTCACAGTCACAATATGATAGTGTATACTTCATACTCCTGCTTTTTTGCTTGAATTCACAACATATGCCACAAATACACTCTTACACATTGTACATCTGTGTTCATGCTTCTGCTAAGAAGAAAAATGTTTTTCTTTTACTGGTTTTTAACTTTGCAAATGTAGGAGTACTGACTGCTTTAATTTCCACCTTCACAAAATACCTCAATAGGGTCTAACAGGTGCTATCTGTATTGGTGTTTTTCAGGACTTGGGATTTCCTTTTCATGGACACCAGCCATTAGCATTGTTAGCCATTATTTCTCCAAGAAAAGAGCTTTGGCCAATGCTATTGCCAGTGCCGGAGAATGTGCCTTTGCATTCACATTTGGGCCATTTTTCCAGTGGCTGATTAGTCAATATGGATGGAGAGGTGCCCTCTTGATCATTGGTGGCATCCAACTCAATATTTGTGTCTGTGGAGTACTGATGCGACCCCTGGCAAGCAGCTGCCTCCTTGAAGCTAGCTGTTCTGAAACATCACCTGGCAAAGGCTCATCTAAGATAGACAAAAAGGATGAGTTTCCCATCGCACACAGAACCTTCAACTGGATGCTTGTGAGGCAACCGGAGTTTGTACTTTATGCCATTTTTGGCATATTAGCTGCCATGAGTTTTTTTGTTCCTCCATTATTTTTAGTTCCACTTAGCTACAGCCTCGGCATAGATGAATCGTGGACTGCATCCCTCCTATCCATTTTGGCAATGGTGGATTTTGCAGGCAGACTGCTATGTGGCTGGTACGCCAACCTCCATGTTACCAAGACTGTTCATTTGCTGACAATGACAATTACACTGATCAGTACTTCCCTGATGCTTTTGCCACTGGCTAACAATTACCTGTCCTTGGCAATATTCACTGGCTTTTATGGATTCTTCTTTGGCACAACAGTTGCCGTTCACATTACAGTGCTGGCAGATGTTGTAGGCATGCCAGATTTTGACAGTGCTCTGGGGCTTTTCATGCTCATTCGAAGCACTGGAGGTTTTGTGGGGCCTCCTCTTGCAGGTAAGTTAAGATGATACTCTGCCAAATACAGTTTACAAGAAGAAAGGGGAATGGTAATGCACAGTGAAAAAATCTGTATCTGGACCCAAATTTCCCCCCTTTTTAGCACAGGGGTATCTGGACCAAGAAGTATATAAAAACAAAGAGTCAGCTTAATTCCTCTCCAAAACATCTTGCTCCCTCTCTTTTCTGTGGTTTTAGAGATACCTGCTCAACATGAAAGCAGGGAAGAATGGCAGTATTGGCATGGTGGTGTTCCTGCTTTGAAAGTCCCACTTGATGGACTACCACTGTCTTGCTGTGAAAGGGTACCTTTGGGACAAGCTGCAGATCCATTGTTTCAGAGAAAAAACTGAAATTTGAGACTAGTGATGTTGCATAATGCTGGTATTGTTGGGGGTGTGTGTGTTCTACAGAAGGTCAAATTGAACAGCTTAAAACATTAGGCTATGTGAACCTCGAGGAAATATTCGCAGAGATGCCTGCTTTTTTTAGACAGCATTAGAGCCAACCGATATAATAAATGGGGGAGGCAGCACATAAAAACAGTGGGAAGAGAGAGAAGACAGTGAGACAGCACATGGATTTATGGGCTGGCAACAAGACAAAGTCATCTTGGAAAAATGCAAGACAAACAAGCTGCAAGCTGCAGGGACTTTACAAAGTGATGTGGCAGAAAAATGACCAATGTAACTTGTAAAATGTGGATCTGAGTCCTTATCCAAAGACCACTGCTCACGCATTACAGTGACTTTTGTGGTGATGACACCACTAATAGGTTGTAAATGGGTCAGGCTAAATACTGGAACATTTTAATTCACTTTTGAAAAGATAGGAACCAGGAAAATTTGTAGGGAATTTGAGACAGAACAGTATCAAAAGTATGTTGGGAAGGTCTGAATAAAATACAGAGATAACGAGACATTGATATAGTGGTTGGTCACTAGTACTGATTACCTGGGCATCAGTGCGACCCCTTTGTGTATATACAGTGAGCTAAAAATAAGGTATGGAAGAAGAGGGAATCCTAAGTCCTTCTCGAGCTCTCCTCTCCTACTTTAACTGTAAAATCTAAAAGATTTGGATTCTGAGTTCCTTTGCATAGCAGGACCAATGTTAGATTGCAACAAGGGCTATGGACATTTAGCCACACTGGCTAAATGTGGACAAACTTTCCAATGGGAGATGAAGCAAGCAGCCTTCATCAGCCCACAAATGTGCCGGCCACTGTACCCACAAAGCAGCTGATACTATCGCACACACTGCTGACGTACTGCTACTATACTCCTGTTCTTTCAGTAGGGCACACAGTGGTGTTACGTGATTTTGGTTGGCTTAAAGCTACCTAAAAAACAGGGTCTTTTTGTTAACGTCTGTGACCCCTTGTGAAATGATGAACAGGAAAGCCCATAACACTGCAGGCAACCTCTCCAGCTGTGTCTCCAGCAGAGGCCTCTCCTTTCCTTCTTTAAACTCTCTTGTGCTGTACAGTTATGGTCCAAATTACAGGAGCTGATGACCCCTACACCAAGGAACCTGGGGCTACTCAGATACAAAGCTGCATGATTTGTTTTTTCTCTGCCATTACCTTCATTGTCTGCCACGTTTTAGGTTGGGAAGTGCTTCAGACTGTATAGCATTTTGCTTAATAGCAATTTGCATATGCAAAGTAAATGAGATGTGAATTGTACTTCAAATTTTAAAATGCTATAGTGGGGCGATGTTCCATGCACTCATGATGTAGAAAGCTGCCAGACAGGTACATAGCCAGCATACTCCCCTCGTGAGAGGATATGTTCACGCTGCTGAGCTAATTCACATTAGCCTGTTTTCTATCAATCACATTGCTGTCATTTATTTCTCTCCAGGTCTGATCGTGGACATGGCTGAAGATTACAGAGCAGGCTTCTACATGGCAGGAGCCACTCTTGTCCTGTCAGCTGGATTTCTAGTAATTTTAGGTCAACTCCAACAGAAGAAAGAAAGAGGAAGCCAGACTAATACTAAAAAAGAAAAGTCAGCATTACCCTACCCTTCCCTCCATCTTCTGAAACTTCAGAACAGAAGGTATCAAGAACATGATGTAGTGGTGTGACTACATCAGACATCTTACAGCATTTCAGGACATATGGAAGTGGTTTATTTTCTCCAAACCTAGTAATAGTAAGATTTATAAAATGATGGAAGTTTTGGATAGGAGCGTTTAAAACTGAGGAAGAAAGTAATCAGTTTACAAGCAAATGGTTACCAGCAACCATTATCATACTATTTTGATGTTGAAGTTGCATTTTGACTATACAGGTCTTCAGCACAGTCCCACAGGGCTGTGATAAGCAAACTAGGGAAACTACAGTCTAAATGAAATTACCACGAAGCATGTACACAGCAGATAGAAATCCTCGCCCCCAGTACAGACTGCAGCCGTCACTGTCAAATAGGAAGAGGCATCAGCTCACAGATGTTTAGCTTGGGGAAGTAACGTTCAGTTTTCTCAGTAAACAAGTCGGACATGAAAGCAAGAGTACATGAATATAGTTTTGAGCTAAAGGGCTTTTGCAGATACTCTACAGAGCAGGGATGGAATCTGATAAATAAAGAAACCCGATAAATCGGGAAAGTTACATGAATACTAGAATTCAGTAGAGAGAAATGCAGTGCTAAGTATCAGAAGTAAAAAGCAAAATATACACACATAAAATGGAGGAGGATTGATGAATAACAGAGGAAGACCTAAGGCTACAGTGGACTTCAAACCGAGTAAGAATCCCAAATGCAACCCTGTATTAAAAAACAGTAAAAGTCTTCCTGTGCTGTGGTAAGATAGAGGAGATAATGATGCTTGCAAAGCTTTAACTGGAAGAGGTACATAAGTTGCAAACAATTAAGTGGAACAAGAATGAGGAAGGTTGAGAAAGCACAGCCTAAAGAAAAAGTGTAGGAAATAAAGTCTGTCTGGTTTAGAAGACAAAAGGTTGTACAGAGCATGACAACAGCCTTCAAATCCATAATAGGTTGAGATAAAGAAGACACGGTGAATTCCTTTCCTTGTTAAGGCAATTAGTAATTGATATAATTTGCACCAAAGCAGAGTTATGTAAAGGGGAAAAAACTTCATTATAGCCTGTTTAGCATAGAAAGAGACTATAAAGGGAATATGAAAACATGGAGATATCAGAGAATAGGTAAGACATGACAGGAATCTAAATATATTCAATTGTGCTTCAGAACAGTGGGATGGGCTAGATCACCTCCTGAGGTCCTCTTTAGCCCCATATTTCAACTATCCTGAGGCTCTTTGAGCAAATACTCGATCTATGAGAATAAAAAGAGTCTGTATCCAAATGGCTTTTTTTTGGGGTCATTTTATTTTACTAGGGGGAAGAGAGAATGTAAAAAAAGGGAGGAAAGGCTGGATCACATTTAAAAAGAAACAGTTAAAGGAAAAAACATGGCACTTAAAAGCTTTCAAACTATTACAAATGTCATAGCTGCCCTAGTTATGAACTTCAGAAATTTTTACCATTGAAACACTTTATCTGTAAAGCCAAGTTTAACATAAATCACTCACCTAAAATAATTATTTGTCTCATAAGAATAACAATTATTTCTAAAATTTAATTTAACTTACAGAAAATTAGCTGAACCACTAATGAATCGACTATCTGTGAGGGCTTGATTGCAGAAGACACACTGAAAGGGACACAACTGGGTGGGCAAAGCCTTGTAGCAAGGCCCTGAAATTTCTGACAAAATATTTTTCAATCACATCAGTTGAAAAACTTAGATTTTCCTAGAAAGTATTATTCTACAGTCTTCTGCAGTGTTCCAATATTTAAAATAATTCTTCATTTTATAAAATGAAAGGAAGGGGAATTGTTGGAGGCGGGGAGGAATGGAGAGGTGTTTAATAGATGCAGTTTCCACCTCTGACTTTCTGTTAAAATTCTGTATTTTATTTACGGGCCCTGTCACTGATTTCTGTATTTTGTTATGTCCTGACATCTGACATGGGCAGTAAAGGCGGCCAGTGGCATCCTGGGCTGTGGGAACAGGGGCACTGACAGTAGATTCAAGGGAGGTGATTATTCCCCTCTGCTCCGCAGTTGTGCGTCCATTTTGGGGCACCGAGTACAGGGCAGTTGATAAACATGACTGAGTTCAGCAGAGGGCCACTGAGAGCTGCAGGAATGGGGCTAGGTCAGCTGTGGGGAAGGGCAGCTTTGGGGGCACCCAGCAGCATCCCTGGCACCGAGGGGAGGGATGGGGGAGTCGCAGCTGGGCCCTTTGCAGCGGTGCGTGGTGGCGGGGCAAGAGGCAGTGGCAAGGGCCGAAACACGGGAGGCTCAGAGTGGAGCCACAAGGACTACCCAGTGGTGGAGATGGGGCCCAGGGAGGCTGCGCTGCCTCCATCCTTGGGGATTTCATGCCCCAGGTAGGTAAAGCCCTGAGCAGCCCAGTCTGAGCCCAGAACTGGCTCTGCTCTGGGCAGGGGCTGGCACTGGAGACCTATCCAGGCCCGACCAGTCTGAACAGGATCCTGTGACCCTGTGAGGGGTGAAATGAGAAGTCATGCTTTCATATTTTTTGCTAAATGCACTGAATAGTATTAGTCCCCTGGACACTCTGTCAGCTGACGACTACGTTATCTGTTTAATAGCACAGAAAAAGTACTGTTTGTATTAATTTTTGGACTACTTTTACTTCATCTGTAGCAGCAATATTCCAAGTTAAGTTTCACTTAACTGTTACTGCAGGGATTACTTGCAACGGGTGGTTTTCTTCCAAGCTGCTAATGATGCATTCAGTGTTGCCTATATTCATTTTCTTCAAGTGAAGAGTTTCTGAGATGGCCTGAGAGACCTAAATCAGCAGGACACCTGCCAGGAGTTTCTCACCCCAAACCAGTTAGCCACTCACTGGTGGAAACAGGACTGCGAGGCTTTAGAAAACACCACCATTCTCTTGAATCCAGGTATGGCCTCCTGAAATTACAGGCAAGAACACTCATACCTCTGCCTCACCTTGATAGTGCCCAACTGCATCCAAGAGGTTTTCACCCATGGTTGGTCATTCTGCATCTCATGGAGAAAGTCCTATAAATCTGAACAATCCCCTGGGCTCGTAACCTCCAGTCAACCACGGACAAAGTAGCAGCAAAGAAAAACACTGCCAGAAAGCTATCCAGTCTTTTTCTTTGGAAAAACAACTTGCAGGAGCACACGCACCACTGCACTCGTGGCATCCACTTGGCATAGCTACTACAGGATTAAGACTACTGCTCCTCCTGTACTGTGCATTGTTCAGAGGTGGAGCGGAAGGAGACGGGTCTGACACTAAGGGCCACAGTTTCACTTGGAAATGACTCGAGGAGGAACTTACTTTCATGAACCAGGCTTTCAGGATGACAATGTATTAATGGTGTCTGTGCAAGGCAGTCTACAGGACAACATGCTGCTTCCTGGAGGTGCCTGCAGTTGAGGTATCAGCAATTTGAGGAATAGCTTCTTTTCAGAAAGTTCCAAATCAGACCTATAGTCGATCTGTTCAGCTCTGGGAAGCCAGCCATACTTCAAAGTAAATCCCCAAACCATGGAGAGACGAGGATCCTCAGCACCAGCTGAAAGGGGTATAATCTCCTTATTCACTCTTACTGTACTGCGTTGCTGTTCATGTAGATTTAGCACTGAAACACTTGAGAGTTTCCACTGAAATTCCCACAACTAAAGCAAACTAAATCAGGTGTCAAGGTACTTACATTTCTTTGCTCTGTCTGCCATAGGAAGCCTCAAATGCCAGAGAGAAATAAAGATTATCGGTTAAGGGAAATAAACAAATTAATAAAAATCCCAGGATCTTTAGATGTCCTAGAAAGATGGACTCACACTGTCAACAGCATAAAACCAACTGCTGTTCTTTTGAAAAGGTCAGGCATGTTATTTTCAGTTGAACTAGAAGCATTCGTTTAATACCTATCATCAAGATTAATCAGTGTGTCCTAGGCTTGCCACAGATTGCTGGCTATCACAAAAGGCCTGGGTTGCTTTGGGGTTTCTCCTGTGTACTCCTCCTCTTCCATCCTCTTCTCCTCCTGAAATGTTATCTGTAAAAATGTAACACCTGTGGAATCCATAGGTCAATTCCAGTGAGTTTACACTGATGGACTTAGCAGCACCACCTCAGAGAAATAAGATTTTGTAAAAAAACTGAGATCAGAACCAAGACGTGGTGTTTAACCTTCACATCCACACAATTCCTCAATAGCAGCGTTGTGCATTTACATACCAGATGGCACCACAGATATGACGAAGTTGTTCTTTTTTCCCCTTCCTTGTTACACTATTAACAAGAGATTCATTCAGAACACAAAATACTCCATCAGTTGACATTTTGCTCCCCATGCTGCTTGAGGCAAAGAAGGGGCAGAGACTGGTTTTGGTATCACATGGTTTTTCAGTATGTCTCAATTTTGATTCTGACAGGAACAAAGTGTACCCTTGAGTTATCATCCTCTCCTGGAAGTGAAGCTTTTCTTCAGGAAAACACATGATTCAGTAACAAGCTCTACAACATTTTCAGAGTACTGCACAAAGGCTGGCCTGCTGCTTGGGAACTTGATACACTGTGATGGTGTACACTTACTGTTTTACACACATTGCT